AAAGGAGCGCCCGCAGAGTCTCATGAGGGGGAAGGAGCGCGGGACGAGGGTGTACTGCAGCATCGTGCCCGCGGCCCGGGCCAGCGTTGCACAGACACGGATCGGAGATCGCTGCGTCCTGAGCGTACTGCAAAACAATGAGGTTACCGCCTTGGGATCTCAGGGCCAGGGCAACTGAGCCTGGCGGGCGCAGCAGCACAAGAAGAGCGGCGAAGAGCAATGAAGAAAGGCCCGGGTAAACCCTGATCCTCCTCCTCCTCCTCCTCCTCCTCCTCCTCCTCCTCCTCCGCCTCCCCCCTGACATCGCGCCTCTGAACCTAGCGCGGGCACGACTGGGGCGAGGTAGCAGCCAGAGCCGCAGGATGAGGAGGAGGAGGAAAAAGGAGGAGGGGGCGAAGGAGGAGGAAGAGGAGAAGAAGAAGGCGAAGGAGGCGGAGGAGGAGGAGGAGGAAGAGGAGGAAGAGGAGGAGACATGCCAGGACGCTGGGCACCCATGGCCGCTCCGAACCAAGAGGGTACTCTTGGACCGAGGATGTCAGAAGCAGCTCTCACGGGAGCAGAAGGCAGCGGGCACCTCCAGAAGATGATCGCAGTGAGGCGCTCGGCCAAGCGAAGAAGATCTGGTTATTGTCTTGCTCTGCTGACCTCCGCCCTTCCTCCCCTCTCCGTGCACTCTCCATCCTGGTCCTCGCTTCGCTTCTCCTTGCCTCGTCTCGAGGCTGCAGATTCGCGCTGCCCCAGCACGCGTGCGGGTGCTTGGCCTGCGCAGCGTGCCCTCGTATATCCGCCACCATGCTTCAGGGCACGAACTGGAGTGTCCTCTGGTCCCTCAGAGTCCTCTGCATCGAATACTATCGGGGCATTCGTTGACCTAAGGAACCCAAAAAATAAGGAACGAGGCCCCCTTCTCCCATGAGACAAACTTCGATCTCCCATGGGAACCCTCGGGTCAACCTGAGGCAGACTGTACAACAATCGAAGACCACCGAGCCCCTCCCTAACGAAAAGGGTTCCTTCTCCAGCGCCCCGACCGTACCGTTTTGCTCTGTAACGGCGCCCAGAGCCTGAAGTGCCGGCCGCTCGCAGGCGCTTCTGGGGACTCCCGCGTGCTTGCCGCGCAGCCCCGCTGAACTTTCGGGAAGCGCGAGTGCCCCGAGAGGGGCCGCCACGGGGCCCTCAAGGCGGTCCAAGACGGCCCCGAGCCGCCCCGAGGCCGCTCCCAGGCCCGCTTAAGGTGGCCTCCCGACAGCTCAGGGCGCTGCTGCGCCTCCCCCAAAAGAGCCCCGAGAGCACCTCCAGGAGGACCCCGAGAGGCCAAACCGTTGAGTGTCCTCTGGCTTGGGACTGACGGTAGCGCTTTCGCCGTGTTGGGCTTCCGACGCTCCAAGGCAGACCAAAGGGACCCAAAGATCGTCCCAAGACCGCCCAAGAGGCCTCCAAGAGGACCCCAAACCGGAACACGAGTACAAAAAAGAGGGCCCCAAGACGGCGCAAGACAGACCCGACAAGTGGATCCTGACATGAGGTTTCGCGTCCTTCGCCCAGAATGACACCCAAATCCGCCAGCAGGGCGCCAAGAGGAACCCAAGAAGCACCAGGAAGCCCCCAAGAGGCCCGAGTCAGTCCCCGAGAGCCCCCAAAGAGGCCACCGAGAGGCCCCAAGGCGCCGCCAAGACCACCTCCAAGAGACTTCCGAGGGGCCTCCCGAGTGGACCACCACAGGCATCAGAGGGACCCCTGACCCACAGCCCGGGCACCGTGGCGGGATGGGCGGAAGGCCACTACCTCCTGCCGAGGAATGACACGTACAGTCGGGGCCCTGAAGAAGGAACCCTTTTGGTTGGGGAGGGGCTCCGCGTTCCTTAAGTGTTTCACAGCTTGCCTCAGGTTGTCCTTATGTCTTCGATTGGAAATCGAAGTTTAACTTATGGGAAAAAAGGGGCCTCGTTCCATATTTAGGGTTCCTTAGGTCAACGCCCCGACTGTATGCTCAGAGGCGAGGGGTACATAGGGTCACTTGCCCTGAAGGTTCATCCTCTCAAGGCCGGTCTTGGCAGCGTGCGTCGGCCGAGGCGCGTCCCGCCTGCAGCTGCGGGTCGATCATCAGGGGCCACCTGCGCGACTTCGAGAGGATGAGGGCGTTGTCGATGGAGACCTCACGGGGGGAGGAGCGGGCGACGAGGAGCGCGGGAAAGGCTCCTGACTCGCTCTACCCCTGGGGGGGGGGGGGGGCCGTCTGGGGGGTCGCCCTCGCTGAAGTTTCCTCACGATGTCCTGGTCAGAGCGCGACCACGGAGGGGCTGGCAGGTCAGGAGCTCCCAGAATCGAATCGACAAGTCGGATCGGCGATCGACACGAATCGGATCGGCGGAAATCGGCAGCCTAGTTGGGAAAAGTCGAATCGGCGGAAATCGCCCTGCTTGTGGGCCTGCATTGCGAAACCGGAACCCGAATCGGAATCCGAAGTCGCATCGAATCGGAATCGGAAGCCATCGAGATCGAATCGGATCGAAACGAGCCCTGGCAGCAGGGGGAGAACGGGACGATGGGGAGGAAAGCCGAGGATCGGGCAGTGCCAACGGTGTGCCTGGCCCAAAGGTGTCCCCCCTCAGGAGGCCCACGGGGCCCCCGAAGGGCTGCGAAGTGACGCGCGGCACGCTGGGGACGTCCAGGTCCAGGACCACCTCCGGCAGCCCCCGAGGGGAGGACTTGTGCGCGCTCTGCCCTTTCTGTTCGGGGGGGGTCCTGGGGCAGGGCTGAACCTAAACGGTGTTTTTCGTTTTCGTTTTCGTTTTGTTTTCGTTGTCCCTTGCTTTTGTCTCGAATCCGCCGTTTCCGCAAAACGAAGTCGACACGAAAACGGCCCACGAAATCACCAAAAACACCGTTTAGGTCCAGCCCTGTCCTGGGAAGGGGCGTGGGCCCTCCATCGTCGCCGTGCCCCGATCCCCCGCGAAGTCCTGGTCGGCAACGAGCCCCCTGGAGCCGTCGGCGTGCCGATCTTCAAGGGTCGGCGGTGAACAAACCTCCCTTTAGCAAACCTCCCCTTAGTGAAAACGGCCTGGGACCGAAACCGACGGACCTGGACCCGCAAAGATGACGGCGGCGACGCCCTCTCGCAAACCGAAAACGGCCAATTCCTTAATCGACGTGTCAGGGTGGGAGGTCTATCAGCCTCAGAAGTGGGGGGGGGGGGGGGCGAGGGGAGGGAGGAGCGAGCGGCGACGAGGACGAGGGCGAGTAGGAAGAGGAGCACGAGAAAGATCCAGTGCAGAGGATGGAGAAGGGAGGGGGGAGGAGAGAGGGGGGGAGAAGGGGAAGTGAAGGGGGGGAAGGAGGGAAGAGCAGAGGGCAGAAGATCCACCCCGAGAATATCCACCCCGACACGCGAGGCCGTATAGCAAACGCACACACAGAAGGAATCAAACCGGGCAGGGCTGTTTAGTAAACGCCCAGGGCCGTTTGGTCAACGCCAATTGTCGGGTCCGGGTGGTTTTTCCCTCCTTGAAGGAGGGATGGGGAGAGGAGACGATTCGGAGACAATGAACTGTTGGACTGCATATCCTACCGATAGGCAGCAGGCGATAACTTGGACAGAAACTAAACCCTGTGGCGCGTGCTGCACCGTTTCTGCATCATGAGGACGCTGGGGGGTCCTTCAGGCCACCTGGCCTCTCCATTCTTGGGCGGGGGGGAGGAAGAGGGAGAAGGGAGGGGGCAAGCTAAGTGTGCTCGCGCCAGTTCTGTTGCCCTACCCGTCCCACCCATTCCTTGCCACTGCGTCGAACTCATCTCTATTCGCATGTTCGGGCGACGAAGGATGCATTGATCCCGAAAGGACAGGCGCCGCACGGCACAGCCTAACATAGTATGGCGTAGGAGAGCACGGCAGAGCGTAGCATGGCATAGCATGGCATTGCGCAGCCAAGCATTGCAGGTCACAGCATTGCAAGGTATGGCATCGCATAGCGGCGCATCATATGGCAATAGGTGCATGTCGTGGCATGACGATGCACACTATGGCATGGAATGGCATTGCGCAGCCAAGCATCGCATAGCGGCATCGCATAGCGGCAACGCAAAACTCGCTGGGCAACGCATAGCGGCATCGAATAGCGGCAACGCATGGCGGCAACGCACAGCGCCAACGCATAGGGAATCCCATGCAGTGCAAGGCTGGGAATCACAAAGCGGCATCAAGTAGCGGACATGACGCCAGCGAAGCAGCGGGAGCACCTCTGATAATGAACATTGAAGTAAGGTCAGCACCGCATCGGAAGCACTACGTTGCATGACTGAAAACGAAAAATGAGGCCACCGCTCCAGCGGGAAAACCATTGAGAAGAACCGATCACGCGGACGCGGAGAATATATCCAATGCTGCAGCGGGAACAACATGTTGGAAGGACTCAGAACAGTCGGACTGGAACCACATCAAATATATCATCTTGTCGGGAGTCCTGCGTGTAGAGGCCATGCGCGGAGGGGGCGAAACACTCTCAGCATGTGCTCCGAGGAAGAGCGGAGCGCACTCACACATATATCGTGCAACTGAAGAGGGACAAAGGGATGTCGGAGGAGGGAGGCCGCCGTGCCTGCATCGGTGCACGCGGCGGCGCGACCCGAGCCGTCGAGGGCTCTTGTGCAGCCGCCACTGCACGCGCCCGAGCCGAGAGAAAGTGTACCACCGCTGCCTCGCACAGCCCTGCCGCCACCGCGGCCCTCTCGTGTGCTGGCGGCCGACGAGCGCCTCCTCCCCCACGAGCGCCCCATCTGGCACCGCTCAGCTCCCTGCTTCGTGCACGAGCCTGGCCCCTGCGCTGCAGGGGGAGGGGGCGGGCCACGGCGCCCCCGTGCGAGGGGCCACCCTGGGCGGCGGCCTGCGCTCGCACCCTGGAAGAGTAGCGGCCGAGGCGACGAGCGCCGCCGCGAGCCTACGCGGGCCGCTGGGAGCGGCCGCGAGCGCTCGCCGGCGGCAGCCCGGGAGCGGCAGCGTGGGAGCAGCAGCGTGGGAGCGGCAGCCGAGCGCCACTGCTCATCAGCAGGCAGCCGAGAGCCGCGGCCGAGAGCGGTCGAGAGCGGCCGAGGCGGCCGAAAGCGGCCGCTGCAGCGCCGCGGCGAGCCTGGGCAGGCGGCGCACCGGCGCTCGGGCGGCGCGGCGTGCTGCCACCCTCCACTCACGAGGGGCGCGGTCGCGGAAACCCACCTCGTGGGCGCATCGACGCCCAGGCGATCGCGGAGAGGCCGAGTTCCCTGCGCTCGGCGACGCGGCGCGCCGCTCCCCTCTGCCGGGCGACCGCGGAGGCCGAGCACCCCATGTGCTCGGCAGGGCGGCGCGCCGCGCGCCTCCCCCTCGGGCGCGGCGCGCGGGGAATGCCGCCGCCGCCGCCCGCGGGCCTGGGCACTGCCGCTCTGGAGGCGCTGCTGGCGAACAGAGGGGGGGGGCGGTCGTGAGTCCTCGTCTGCGCGCGGAGGGGAGGCCTCGTGCCCTCGTGCGGGCGCTGGGGGCCCAGGCCGGCGGCGGAGGCGCGGAAGCCCGCGTGGAGGCCCACGGCGAGGATTCCAACGACGGCAGTTGGGACGTCGTTGAGGTGCCTCGCTGCGGGAAGCCTGCATCGACACGCCAGGGGAGGAGTGCACGTCCTTTCAGGAGCGCACGCGCCTGACGGCCATCTTCAGAGGGGCTCGAACTGATGTGCCCGACGGTGAGAGCGTGATCGGCGACTTGGAGTCAGGCCTCGCGGAATGCATGACTTTCTGACGCTCGCCCTCTGTCGACACCGGTCTCTTCCAGGCAGCCACGGTCAAGGGCTGCATTTGCGTTGAAGCTGCGCTGGAGGCCAACGCAAGAACATCGTCGGCAAGAACCACATCATGATGGCCCACGCGACGCTCAAGTGCTCCGAGTTTGGCATGAAGGAAGCGGGCCCTGGACCCGAGGGCCTTCCCTCAGGACCAACTCTTCGTCCCGAATCATATTCTGACTGACCCGGGGCTGGGGGAGGGCCCCACTCAAGCCCGAAGCCGGCGAAAAACTTCAGGGCCTCGTTTCCCTCAGGACCCGCGCGCTTCATGGCGACGAATATCTGCGGTGCAGCTTCGAGCACCGCTGTTCGGGGCTCTCCTTGAAGACCCCCAGCCTTTCGGCGGGGCCTCGGCCAAAAACCCGATCTTCTGTAGCAACTCACGGGAGCCTCCCGTGTCGTCTTGCTGGCTCTTGCGAAACGACGCTATGTGACACCTATCGGCGCGAATCGACGCTCAATCGCTGCTGAATAGGCGCTTTCTCAGCGACTACCAGACGCTGGCGCACGCTAGTGTTATGTTGCTCCCATCGCACTTTCTGAAGGACCACATCACAAAAATAATTTCGAGCACCCGGAAAAGTCTCGAAAGAGTATCGAAACAGTGTTGAAACAGCGTCGGACGAGTGTCTCCCAGGACCCGAAACGTGAAAACCCTCGGGTTTCAGTACTTGTGTGAAGCCCGAAATTCTTTCTGGTGGTCAATGCTAAAGTGGATTGGAACATCATAACGCCAGTGCTCTGTAGAGACTGGCCGCCGTCGCGCGCGCGTCGGCCCCCAGTAGGCCCTGAAGTGATCCTACTGCAGCGTTCGATGGGGTACGAATGATACTTGTTCGATCATGGACCCCTCGCCACGCATCTTGGCCTCCGAAGACCCTCCAAAGACCGCCGAAAACCGCCGGCGGGCGCGCGCCCCGCCACAGGCGTTGGGGCCCGACATAGTCTTCGGCGGTCTTCGGCGGTCTTTCGGCGGTCTTTCGGCGGTCTTCGGCGGTCTTGCGGCGGTCTTCGGCGGTCTTTCGGCGGTCTTTCGGCGGTCTTCGGCGGTCTTGCGGCGGTCTTCGGCGGTCTTCGGCGGTCTTCGGCGGTCTTCAGCGGCCATCGGTGTGAAAGCAGGATATTTCGCGTCAGCGCAGGGTCCCTGATCGAACACGTAACAAGTGAGGCGTCCGATGAGGTGCTGACGAAGCCCTGCAATGATCCTACTGCGACGTTCCGAGACGTCTCTCACACAGTTCTGATACTGCCGGCCTGTCCGTAGACCAAAGGGGCCCCCGTGGAGCCATGGTCCAGGATGGGGCACGGCTGTGTTGATGCTGTTGCACCTGCAGGCGGACATGGGACAGAAGAACATCCCTCAAGAACACGAGACCCTCCGCCGGCCAAAACACGCGGAACATGCAGGGCCCCCCCCCCCCCAGGATTCACGAGAACATCCAACAAGCACGAAGATCATCATGCTACCCAACCCGAACCGAGCTCGACCTGGTACCCCGGTCTGGCTGCACTGCGCCCCTTGGTGTAAGTCGGGGCCTGTCCTCCTACAGGGAGATTTTGCGCGAAAAATGAAAAATGGTACGAAAATGCTAAAAGAATCGTTCCCGCACGATTTGTCTACTATTTTCGAACACTCCTCCTGTAGAGGGGCGAGCCCCACTGCACCCTTGGTGGGACCCTCCTTCCCGCCACCCTGGGCGGGGGCGTGGGCCGTGAGGCGCCCCCACACGGCACACGGGGCGGAGCACGGGACGGAGCTCGGGGCCGGAGACCCTGCCTGCCTCCTGCTTCTCCTCCTCCTCCTCCTCCTCCTCCTCCTCCTCCTCCTGCTCCTCCTCCTCCTCCTCCTCCTCCTCCTCCTCCTCCTCCTCCTCCTCCTTCCTCCCGAGCGCCCCTCTCGCCCGCCCCACGCCGGCCGCTTGCACAACGTCCGACCAACGCCGGGCATTCTCCCGATACGCTGCCGCTTCCTTCTTTGAGTCGGGCCTGTCCCTCTACAGGAGGAAGATCCAAAAATAATCAAGAAATAGTCTGGGGACGATTTGTTCTTATTTTTCGCCCAAACTCCCCTGGTAGGGGGACACGCCCGACTTGACACTTCCTCCTCGACGCTGGCCTGCTCGGGTGCAGGAGAGGTTCGCGGCTCCCCGGGTCCAGAGGAGGAGCAAGAGGAGGCGGAGGGCGGCGGGAGCCAGAGAGCTCCGGCGAGCGTCTGGCGCTCGCGGGAGTAGGCCGTCTGCTGGCGCGACGCTCTGGAGACGCACGGGGGCTGCTAAAAGTGTAGCTGGCCGAAGGTGTCCCCAGCTTTTCGCTCCAGTTTGGAGCCCCTGCGGCCCTCTGGGCCTCGTGAGCGGTGCTCTGCAGGCCATGGGGGCCTCCTCGGAACTCCTGGGGACAGCTTGGGCCAGGGGCACTTCTGGCAACACCCGAAAAGTGACTGGAGACAGGAGCAGACGGTCAAGCAGGAGAGGGGCGTGCGTTGCGAGGCAAAGAGTTCGGAGCCCTTACGATTCTCACTGGCGGGACCCATTGGCAGCAACCATGGCAATCTGCAACTTTCCCGCATGGCTTTGGGCAATCCGCTCACAGCTAGCAGCAATCAGCAGGAGCAGCACGTGACGGCGTGCTCAGGCAAAGATCGGGCACCTTTGGCAGAAGCGGAAGGGAGAATCGGGAGGACAAAAGGGGTTTTACATCCAAAATTGTTTAAAGCCACTCTCACCCGAGACAGCACAGCACGGTCGACCGCTCCGAAGGTAGCTGAGTGTCATAATCGAGAGCAAAGCCTCGCGAAAGAAATTCCAGAATTCACCTGAGCAGGAGGCGGCGGCAAGCATGGCACCTCGCCCCGTTGGGAGAAGGAATGACACCTGCCAGCAGGAACCTTGGACAAGGAACGATAGCCACTTGGGTACTCAGCTGCGCCCAAATGCACGGTGAGTGCCGGAGAAACAGCGAAGGGCCCAAAGAACATCGGCAGAAGAACGAACAGCTCCATAAACACAGACTTTCCGAGGCCTGCGCAAACTCTTGGGTCCACGCTGTCCCCCCCTGCAGCCCCGCTGGCATCGCCCCTTGGAACCTCGAGAACTCCTTCCGAAGCCAAAGTGGACCGAATTCCAAAGCTTGAACTGCCAAGTAGGGGTCATGGAACCAGCTGCGTGCGTGGTCTTCCAGGCGCCTCCAGGCCATGACGCGACCACGTAATCGAGGAAATTGCATGGCAGTGCGGCCGAAACCAGCTGAATGCAGGTGTAGACCCCTCCCGCCGTCTCGGCGGACGCCATATACCCCAACCTTTCCCAATCATTCCTTTTGGACCCCCCCGAGAGGAAGCGAAGCCTGGTCGTTTGGCAGCTTGTCAATCAGCCACTGCCGAATGACGACCTCCTCACCGAGTACTGTCCGCAGCAGGAACCTCAGTGACGGCCAGCATCGAATCGGGGAATCGGAACGAATCGGAATGCGCTTCGGAATGGGCTGCATCTTGGCGGCGAGCAGAAGGGGGTAGGGGGAGGGGGGAAGGCTTCTTAGAAGGAGGCTGCTTCTTAGAAGGCGCCGGCCTTACATCTACAGAGAAGGCCCGCACCTTCTAAGAAGCAGGGGTGCTTCTAAGAAGCCTTCCCCCCTCCCCCTACCCCCCTCTGCGCGCCGCCAAGCATCGGCACGAAGTCGAAATCGAGCCGGATAGGCTCCGCCAGGACCTGCAGCAGCGCCGTGCGAGCATCGGGCCGCGTCGGATCGCCGGAACTCCGGGAGCGAACAGGTACAGTCACAGCAAGGAACGAAGCCCCTGTTTGCTCCAAGGAATGACGCGCAAGGAACGAGACAGAAAGAAATAACGCATGAGGAGCGAGAAATAACGCATGCAGAACTGAGGAGCGACCGAGCCCCTTGTGAAAAGTAAGTGCTCCTTATTCAGGCCGCTCTCGGGGATCTGCTGACCTGGGTCAGTCCAGACCCGGGTCAGTCGGGCCTTGCAGGATCCTGCAGGACCCTGCAGGATCCTGCACCCAAACCTGGGTCAATGCGAAGGATCCTGCAGGATCCTGCACCCAGACCCGGGTCAGTGCGCCCACGGCTCTCCTCCTCCTCTTATCCTTATTATTATTATTCTTATTATTATTACTATAGGTGTCTGCATTATTCGTAGTCGTATGATCAGCATTACCATCACTACTTATATTAGTAGTATCATTATTACTACTAATACTATTACTACCAGTATGATTATTAGTACTCCTCTTCCTCCTCCTCCTCCTCCTCCTCCTCCTCCTCCTCCTCCTCTTGTTCGATCGCCCTGCACAAGGCCGTCCACGGCGACGGTGCAACCGAACGTCGACCGAAGCGACAGCGAAGCGGACACCGACCGACACCGACAGGCCGCCGTCAGCCTAGAGAGGCCTCGAGGCCCAAAAAAAGGCCGCCTGAGAGGGAGGGCCATCCGAAGCTGAAATCAATAGTTGTTCAATTGTTTGTTGCATGATTTTGGCGTTTGCTCGTTTCGGCCTTCAGACTGTCCGAAACCGCCAGGAGGCTCCCCGGAGGTCCCAGGGAGGCCCTATGAGGCCCCAGGAGGCCTCTCAGAGACTCTTGAGACGCCCCAGAGAGGCCTCCAAGAGGACCCAAGACGCCTCCAAAGACCGCAGGGGCTTCGAGGCCCCTAGTCAACGCCCCAGGCATGATTGCGGGATGCCAATAGTTCCACTTCGTCGGCGGCATAGTAGCTGTCTTCGACGTCCAACTCCTTCTAAGCTCCGCCTGTTCCTGTTCCACTTCCTCCACCTCCTCCTCCTCCTCCTCTCGAAAATGTTTGTTCCTCTTCTTTCCCCTCCTCTGCGTCCTCCTCTCGAAAAGGCATCCCCCTCTCGAAAAGGCTTCGTCCTCTTCTTCTTGTGTTTCTTCTTCTGCTTCCTCCTCTTCTTCCTCCTCCTCCTCCTCTCGGAAAGGCTTTCTCGATGCCCGGCGCGGGCTGGCCGCGGGCGCGCCGCGGCCGCGCCCCCCGCCCGAGGTGCGCGCGTCGATGAGGCGGGCAGCTGGAAGCCGCTCTCGTTTGCCGCGTGCCCCTCCCCGTCTCCTCCCGACGCAGCAGCACCACCAACGCCCTCCTCCTCGCCCTCCTCCGCCCCCTCCGCCCGACTCCGCCCTCGTCTCGTCCCCCCCTTCTCTCGTCCCCTCTTATCCCCCCCCTCTCTCGTCCCCCGTATCCGTCGCCTCGTCCCCCGTTATATCCCTCGTACTCTCCCGGCTCTCCCCCCTCTCTCCTCTCTCGTCTCTCGCCCCTGCTCCTCCCTTCTGCGAGGTCGTCGCCTCCCCCCTCCCTGACAATAACCACCCCGACACGCGAGGCCGTTTAGCAAACGCACCCAAAGAAGGAATCAAACAGGGCAGGACTGTTCAGATAAACGGCCAGAGCCGTTTAGTAAACGCCCGGGGCCGTTTAGTAAACCCCAATTGTCGGGTCTGGGTGGCTTCTCCCCCCTGGACTCGTTACGCCCAGGATCCTTGAAAAGGGGCTGGCCACATGTGATTGCTCCTATCCGAACGATTACGGTGTTCCTGAATAGCACTCCCGCTGCAGCGTCGGCTCCATACTCTCGCTCTCGGTCCTTCTCAGTCCTACGCAAGCTGCCTCGCTGACCTCCTTTCTTGGTTGCCTAAGTCCTACGCAAGCTGGCCGAAGTCCTACGCAAGCTGCCTCGCTGAGGTTCCACTACAACTTTGGCTCTAATTTTACGCGTCCGCTCTCTCCGAGCCGTTCATTTACGTGTTTAGTCCTGTGTCATGTTGACTGCCACCCGAACCTGTTACGCTATGTCGTGCGCTTGCCGTGCTGCCGCGCCCTCTCGGGATCACTCCCCTTCTCGACATCCGACTGTGCGGATAGAGAGTAGATCTACACCATGAGAAAGGATGGAAGGGAGGGGTAGGACGTCAGGTAAGACACTTGCGCACCTAGCTTGACTTTTCCTCTCTCCTCTCCTCTCCTCTCCTCTCCTCTCCTCTCGCCTCTCTCCTCCTCGTTCCTCTCCTCCTCCTCCCCCTCCCACTACATCCTCCTCCCCTCCTCCTCCCCCTTCCCCCTCCTCCTCCTCAGACCCCCCCTCCGCCTCCACCCACTACCTCCTCTTCACTACAACTATCCGAACTGGCTTCTCCTGTGTTTTTTCGATCCGACCGCTGTTACTCCTTCCGAAGAGGTGTTCCGGCAGCAGCGCGGGCCTCATTTTCGGATCGGCATGTTGTCCCCGTCGTTCAGAATCACGCTCTCGCCAGAGCGAGGGCCACGTTTCTCAATCCGAGGCCTTCCTCATCTTTGTCTCTCCGCTCCTCTCCCCTCCTCTGCCTTCCACTGGACCTCTTCCTCCTCATCATCCTCATCCTCTTCCCCATCCTCCTCCTCCTCCTCCTCCTTCTCCTCCTCCTCCTCCCTCGTGCACTCGGGGCAACTCTTGGCCCTCGTGCCAACTGCATCCCTTCCCCTGGCACTGCCCGGTCGTGCCGCCGCTTCTCCCACGCACGCTTCTCGCACACGGGATTCAAAGGAAGGCGCGCTCCAAACTGAGATTCTATCGGATTGCTCTCGGCCCTCTAGGAGCGGTGTTCCCGCTGCAGCGTTCGCAACACTCCAGGATCCTCACGTTGCTCCCGTCGGCCTCCACATCCTCCTCCTGCTCCTCCTCCTCATCCTCCTGCTCCTCATCTTCCTCCCATCCTCCTCTTCCTCTTCTCTCCTACTCCGTTTCGTCCTCATTCTCCTCCTCGTCTGGGCTCATGTTTGTTCCTCCCTCCTCCTCCTCCTCCTCATCCTCCTCATCCTCACCCACACAGGAAAGGAAGGATGGGGCAGGCGGATGAGGACACAGACCACAACGGATCGGATCTGTAGCGATGTTCTGCCCTCGGGGGCCCCTTCCGGGACCTGGGACCGTCAAAAGAACCCCAGAATGAAAATTGGCTAGCGGAGGGAGAGGATGAGCGCCCGTAGTACCTAAAGCTCCGACACACTTTCTGTGTTCGTCTTCGTCGTGTCCGTTGAGACTTTGTCGTGCCTGTCGCGTTCCCAGGCCCCCCTCCAATCCCCCACCCCTCACAGAGTGCGCCCCATGCCCGCAGACCCGCCATGTCAGCCGCCCCTTAGGCGCTGAATAGACGCCGTGCTGAAGAAAAACAACCCCACATACCCCTTGCTTCCGATGCGGCTGCCACCGCCGTTACTCCCTTAATCGAAGAGCACGCCGTGCGAAGCTACACCGGGTGCGCAACAGAAGGGAAGGCGACAGAATAAAAGATTGCCTTGTTCGCGCGCATGAGATCGATCCAGGAACCGACGCTCTCGTTGCGATACTTGGCGAGAAACGTGCCGAGGTACGCGATGATGCCCGACGCGATGAGCACGTCGCCGGTCAGGTTCTCGAACTGTCGAGTGTTCAGCAGTGCGGTGCGGGAGTGTGGGGGAGCTCGAGTGAGGATGGATGCAGGGAGCCTTGAGTGTGGACGTCATACAGTTTGAACTCACTTGGACGAAGACGTCTAACTGTGACCATACTGGTGGTCACTGGGCCCTCGATGCACTGACTTCGCACAGCCACTCTCGATTTGCAAGGTGGTGGAGGGAGGCGGAGGAGGGAAAAGAGGAGGACGAGCAGGACGACGGGGAGGACGGAGACGCGGACGAGGAGAAAAGGGTAAGACCAGAGGGAACCCACTGACCAGGCATACACGCACATACATACATACATACATACATACATACATACATACATACACACATACACACATACATACATACATACATACATACATACATACATGCATGCATGCATGCATACATACATACATACATTCAAACAACCATACATACATACATACATACATACATACATACATACATACATATATATATATATATATATATACATACACACACATACATACATACATCCATACATACATACATACATGCATGCATGCATGCATGCATGCATGTATGCATGCATACATGCTCGTACATACACAAACACATGCATGCATACATACATACATACATACATGCATGCATGCATGCATGCATGCATGCATACATACACACACATACATACATACATACATACATACATACATACATACATACATACATATACCATGCATGCATCCATACATACATACATACATGCATGCTTGCACGCACGCATGCATACATACATACATACATATGTACACATACGCATACATACATACATACATACATGCATGCATATATACACACATACATGCATGCATACATACACACACGTATATACATACATACATACACACATACATACATACACACATACATACATACATGCATATATCCATACGTGCATACATACATGCATGCATGCATACATACATACATATGTACATGCATGCATACATACATACATATGTACATACATACATACACATACACATACATACATACATACACAGACATATACATACATACATACAGACATGCCTACCTACATACCTACCTACCTGCATGCATACATGAGACACGTACGTATGTATATATATACATGCACCCATACGCCAAACAGAGACCGACAAGACATAAAACATAGCAAACTTTGAACCACGAGCAATGGAAACCACATCACTCAACAACCAATACACGTCGGCGAAATAAGAAACATGAACTATGACGGCGGATCAAGTAGATTGGGTCCTCGCCCTCCCATGGGGCAGCAAAACACATCAAAACGTATCGATTATTGATGTAGGAAGGCGGTTGAAGTAGGTTGGGAAATGGGAATCGACGACCGACGTGTATACCGCACACCATACATCACCAACATCACAACAGATATTTTACAACATGCTTCACCCCCTCTCACACAGATGCACACAATATGCCACACACTCGAAGTGTATCCCACCACAGAAACACGCACAACACACACCGACACACACACACAACTTGTGCAATACACGATGCACGCCGCGCTCGAATACGACAATCAGCCACGCACGCGCGCACGCACGCACGCACGCACGCACGCACGCACACACACAGACACACACACACACGCACACACACACACATACATACATACATACTCGTCGCGGCCCCGCGCGCAGCGACAGGACGTCCAAACACAAACACACACACACACACACGTTTTGGCGGTCGCGACCTCGCGCGAAAGTCCAGGCGGAGAAAACTAAGTGCAACGGCCAGTGTCCCGCGCGCGCAAGGCTCAGAGGGAAGCAGCGCCATATGCCATCCGTGCGTGGACGGCGGGGAAAGCAGAGGACGAAACGACCAGGACCCGCACGGAAGGCAAAAGTAAGCCACACGGGCGGCACGACAAGCGACAGCCGAAACGACGGAAGGAACGCAAGTGGAGATGGCAAAACACCATTGAGGACGCTCACCGTCTGGCCTTGCGGCTCCCGTGAAGGTCACCCCGCGTCCTGGGTGGTGTCACGGAGGGCGTCGTCGGGAAGAGAGCGTGTCAAGAGGCTGAGCTGGTGGTGGGCAGAGAAGGCAAGGGGGTCACAGGTCGCTGGAAGATCACCAGCACCATTTGCAAAGCTGGCAGGCATTTCGGATGACCGATTCGTGCCACTGGGCGGTCACGAAATGGACTACCGGGCAGGCGTCATCAAGCAAGGCGGCCACGCGATTGGGCATCGTTTAACCGACCCCTTATCCCCATGAACGTGGCCTGGGCCCACGTGGCCGATTGACCCCCTAGATGGGGGATACGGGCCGTTCCCTTCGGGTTTCAAGGCGTCCCCAACTGGGGTGCACGGATGCTGGGGGACTGGATGGGGATGGGGATGGGGGATGGGGATCGGTCAAACGATACCGATTTCTTATAAAGCAAACAACAACGGCACAATGATTCGAAAGCGAAGCGGATCACCGCAGCAGGGCTGCGCCCTGAACGTGCTACTCAAGAGCGTCCGGGCAACTGGCGCGGGAAACTGCACAAAGACGAGGACGCGGGAGGAGGACGAGGGCAACTGGCAACTGGCAACTGGCTCCGCTTGCGTGGCGCCATGGAGGCTCAGCGGAGGGGGCGCCAAGGCGCCTGAAAATGAAAGCACGAGGTGAACACAATGACAGTGGAATAAGAAGGCCCGTTCTAGCTCTGATCACCTGGCTGAAAATCGGCCGGGACGAATGCGACACTTCGAACAAGACAAAGGAGCGGCTGAACGATACCGACGGCTAAACAAAGGAGCGGCTGAACGATGACCAGGGTGGGGCGAGCGGCTGCCGAAGCTGACGAAAGACCGCCGCCTCGGCCGCTGCGCTGGCGACGGCTCTCTTCGCTCGGGCGGGGGGGCGCGCGGGCCTCCCAGGAGCCCCCAAGCGAGTGGTGACGACTGCGCAGCTCGCAGTGCCACCCAGGGAGCAGCGAGGTCCCGTCTCGGTGCGCGCGGCCCCCGCCTCCGCCGGGCCCCCCCAAGGAGCCACAAAGGGTCGACAGCAAGTGCTCAGTTCGCAGTGCCACCCAGGGAGCAGCGAGGCCTCGGCTGGGTGCGCAGGGCCTCCGGCTCCGCTGGACCTCCCAGGGGCCCACGAAGAAAACGACAGGTGTGCAGAACGCAGCCACCCAGGAAGCAGCGAGGCTCCGTCTGGGTGCGCGTGTGCCCTTCGACACCGCTGGACCTCCCAGGAGCCCACGAAAGGAACGACAATTGCAAAGTTCTCAACCACCCACTGGGTGCAGCGAGGTCCCGTCTGGCAGCGCGTGGCCTCCGACTCCGGTGGACCTCTTAGGAGCCCACGAAAGTGGCGACAGGTGCTCAGCTCGCAGCCACACAGGGAGCAGCGCAGGAGTGGGAGGAGGAGAGAAATGGAGGAGTGGAGACCACGACGCTCTGTTGAAACCGAGAATCCGACACAGGAGGGTTCGGAACAAGCAAGACCCCGAGGCAAAGCCTAAATGTTGGGAAAACGCACGTATTGAAAAATCCGTCCGCCCGAAATCCAGGTCGTCGTCGCCGATGTGTTTTCCTGGGTGTTTTTGGCTTCGTCCTCGTCGGCGGCGGCGCCGCTGGCCTGGACGTCGAGCGTCGCGGAAGTCGCCGACCACCTCGGCTCACGCGCGCGCTGGGGGAGGGGGAGGAGCATAGTAGGCACACGGAATAAGAAACTGGCCTGCCGCCGAGTTCCCCACACGACGTTTTTGTCTTCTGGTGGCCCAGGAGACCCTTGTGGCACCTTACATAGCCCGAGGTCGGCGGAATGCTACCCTTGATGTCTTATATCAAGATTTCGTAGCGTATGCACCGGCTGTGGGAAGGGAAAACGAGGAGCCGGAGGAGCAGCAGGCGCGGCGAGCGGATTCTGGGGCGGCAAATCTGCGAAGCTGCATGCGGAACGAAGCTGTGAGAAGCCGAGCGGCTGACGCATCGTGAGATCGACCACGATCGCACCCTCCGCCCTGCAGGTGGGGGACCCGCGGGCCACCCTCGCTCCACCGACGGGGTGTACCGCCGCTCATTCCAGGTCCCCGCTGGCCAAGCCCGGGTGACGAGGAGAAGAGCCCAGGCCACGATGGTCAGACTCCTCCGCCTCAAAACCAGCCCTGCCAGGAGGCCGCCTTGGCCCACTGCGCGAGGCTGGACGGGCCAGCGTCGAGCAGAAGACAGTGGCATGCTCTTCTCCTCCTCCTCCTCCGAGGGAAGCTGTGAGGGAGGCACCTCCAGAGGAATGACGCTTGCCTTCGTGTACTGTCCATCACTGTTCCCCCTTCCATGTGCACCAACTCCTCCACAGACGAGCGCGTTCCAAGCGGCTACGGAACAGAAAGACGAGGAGGCGGACCTCGTCTTTTCGCCGCCCAGGCCGTTGATCAGCTTTTCGGCCGTCACCAGGCGCTTCGAGCAAACCTCGACCTGGTCCTGCAGGTCCGCCTCGAGGGGAGGAGGGAGGAGGACGGGGGGAGGGATCACGAGTGACGAACAGATCCGCATCCATGCCCTCGTGGTCAAGATACCGCGGCGCGATCCCATGGATACGCGATTACGTTCCCTACGAGACATCCGCGCAAGGCTATCCTGTGCTCGTGGTGCCGCGAGCGAAGCGAGGAGTCTGGACGGCGAGGCCGAGGACATGACTCTGTCCCCCGCCCCACAGAGAGGAAGGCAGGAAGGAACACGTCTGATGCTCTGAAAATGCATCGTCATCTTCCTGCGGCGGGGGTACCAGAGGCTGCGCAGGAGGTCGGGCATGTCCTCCTACAGGCGGATGTTGGACAAAAAATGAAACATACCCTGACAACATTCCAAGATGGTCAAACATACTCTAAAATCGTCCCCTGATTATTTGTTCTACTATTTTTGAGATTCCTCCTGTAGAGGGCCATGCCCGCCTTAACTCTAGTGCGATTGAGAGCAGGAGCGCCGTGGCAACGGAACTGGGCCGAACGGCGCTCCCAACCCCCAGTCTGCCCCTCCCCCTCCGGAGGCCGCCCAGATGGGGCCGGGGAAGATATGAGGTCGGAGGATCGCGCCGCATCGCCGATGCGTCGGCTCTCCATCGGCCTGCGGCGGGATGAAGAAATCGAGTGCCCGGATCGTAACGCATCGGCGATGCATGTGCGGCGTGGTGCTCCGACCTAAATTGGGCGGCCCGGAGGACCCTCCTCCTCCTCCTCCTCGTCCCCCTCCTCCTCCAGAGTATCACATTCCTCCTCCTCCTCCTCCTCCTCCTCCTCCTCCTCCTATTCCTCCTCCTCTTCCTCCTCCTCCTCCTCCTCCTCCTCCTGCTCCTCCTCGGGCTCGGATTGAGGGCATCAGAGCCGATGGCACGGTGCTTCACCCACCCACCTCAGCAGACATCGCCGCTGGGGGAGGAAACATTTCTGAGAAAGTGGCTCCGCCCCCTGAGCGCCTGTTGCGCTCGTCGATCTTCCTCGCCCACCTCCTCCTCCTCCTCCTCATCCTCATCCTCCTCCTTCATCCTCCTCCTCCTCCTCCTCCTCCTCTTCCTTCTTTTTATCCTCTTCTTACCCCGCTTGATCCTGCTCCTTGTCCTCCTCCTCTCCCGACTTGCTTTTCTCCCTGCTGTTAATCCCACCAGCCCTGTAGTGCGTGAGTGGTTTAGGAAGTTTCTTTTTCCAACCCCCTTCTTCCCCTTCGGGGAGGGGTGTACACCTCCCCCTTACCCCCCCCCCCCTGGACTTGGACGGAGGTGGTCGCAGGTAGTTGGAGGCGTCCAACATGGCTCAAGATGGCTCCAGATAACGCAAGATCGTTCAAGATAGTTTCCAAGATGCTCCAAGAGTCCCCAGGACCGCCTCAAAACGGCTCCAAATGCCCAAAGAACTCCCCAAGGAGGCCCCCAAGATATCAAAATCCGTCAAACGCCTGGAGAAACTCAATGTGTTTGGCTTTCTCGCCATTTTGCTTCTGATGGTCATCCGAGGCCTAAAGATGGCTCCTAGATGGCGCAAGAGGGCCCCAGGAGGGGCCCAAGAGAGCCCCAAGACGGCCCCCGAAGCGCCTACGAGCCCTCCAAGAGCGCCCCATGAGGCGATTCGACGCACTCCAGAAGGGCAAGGCCAATTAAAGCTCCCATCCTGTTGTATCGATGTCTTCCAAGATGGCTCCAAGAGCGCCCCTAAAGCTCCCAAGAGCGCCCCAAGAGCGCCACAAGAGGGCCCCAAGAGGCGCCCAGACGACTCCAAGAGGCGCCCAAAGGGTCTCCACGAGGCTCCCAAGAAATCCCCAAGAGGCTCCAAGAAATTCCCGAGGCACCCAAGACGCTCAAAGCAGGCCCTGGGTCCGCCAAGATGCCCCCCCCCCCCCCCAGACGCCCCAAAATGCCTCCAACAAACTTCCAAACGACACCTGGGGAGACCCCCAGAGGCATTCAAGAGGTTTCTGGCTCTTCTGTTGTTCGCCCATTTCCTCCTCCTTCTCCTGCTCCTCCTCCTCGTCCTCCTCCTCCCCCTACCCCTCCTTTTCCTCCTTCTCCTCCTCCTCCTCCTCCTCCTCCTCCTCCTCCTCCTCATCCTCATCCGCTTACTCCTCCTCCTCCCCCCTCCTGCCTCGTCATGGCCTCTTCCCCCTCCCCCACATCATTGTGCTCCTCCTCCTCCTCCTCTCTCCTCCTCCTCTCCTCCTCCTCCTCCTCCTCCCCCTCCTCCTCCTCTTCCGCCTCCTCCTCATCCGCCTCCTCTCCTCTCTTTTTCCTTCCTCCTCCTCCTCCTCCTCCTCCTCTCCTCGCCTTGCTCCTCCTCCTCTCCTCCTCCTCCTTCTCCTCATCCTCCTCATTGTCGTCGTCCTTCTCCTCCTCCTCTTCCTCCTCCTCCTCATCCTCTTTCTCCTCCTCCTCCTCCTTCTCCTCCTACCTCCACCATATTCCCCCTCTTGGGGTACGACGATTTTTGATCCTTGTGTTCCTCTGTGTGCTCCCCCACGTCCTTGATTAGGGCAACTCGTGCGGGAAACTTCTCTGGATGGGCTGCCCTTCTCCTCCTCCTCCTCCTCCTCCTCCTCCTCCTCCTCCTCCTCATCATCTGCCGTTTCCTCCTCCTCCCTCTTCCCTACTCCCTCCCCCATGTTGCTCCTACGAGTCCATGATCGTCTCAACTCGCCCGGGCGTCCGTCTTGGATGGGCTGGTGGGGGTACACTTTCTGTCGCGTCCACTAGCGAAAGCGCAGGCGGAGTCAGAAGCGTTCCGGGACACGGTAACGGCCTAATTAGCTATTGAACGCGCCAATAACTGGTGGGGGTACTCGAAGCGTCACGAATTCGGCTATATTCGTGACCTGTTACATCGTGTCCTTCTGCACTTTCGTTTGGTCTTCAAGATTGTCGATTCGGAACTGAAGTTTCTGAACAACCCCTCCTGCGAACATGTTGCGGATCACGTCACTGAGGAGCAAGGAGATCATTGCCCGGGCCGTTCGCAACAGTCTGTACCCCTCCTCGTTAGTGAGGGTCCTTTACTCCAGCTGCAGCCTGTCTCCCAATGAACTCGTTCATCGCTTCATGGTTAGCTCCCAGTGCCACTTTTACATCACTGTAATCACCCCCGTAATGCGCGGCCTTACATCGTTAACTGAACCTCGTTTGGTGTATGTCAAACCATTGGTCTCGGTCCTAAGGCGTATTTAACTCCAAGAGTGGGTCTCTGGGATAAGCGGGTGCTGCTGCCGCTGCCGCTACGGCTGCCATTAGCCTCGCCCAGCTACCATGCAAATTCCTGAGGAGGACTTGCAATGGAACGACGGATAGCGGTATGTTCCAACAGCGGAACACAAGGCACAATCCACTGTTAAACCGTTGAACCAAATGCCATCGGTAACGCTAACACCTCACTGCGAGACGTGTGGTTATGCTCCACACCCAGTCGCAAGGCCATGTTCTAACACTCCTCCCTCGTCCTTCCTCCTCCTCCTCCTCCTCCTCCCCGCTCCTGCTCCTCATCCCTCCTCCCTTTCCTCCTCTGTCGTCCTCCCTCCCTCGGAGGGGGTGGGGTGCCTCCCCCCCCCTCCTCTTCCTCCTCCTCCTCCTCCACCTCGTCCTCCACATCCTCCTCCTACACGTCCTGCGCCCCCATCATGGCGTCCACGCTGTAGAGATTGCGGACTTCATCCCCGAACTACTTTTTTCCAGGGGCAGCGATGTTCCCGCGTCGACTTTCGCGGAGAGCCCGGCGCGAATGTCTTCGCGCGCTCGCGGCTCCCCTCCAGGGAAGAAGTCTTCACACGTCTTCAGTGAGAGTCTGACTTGTCGCAGGCACGCTCAGGAAATCATTGTAGAGATGATCCTGCGCAAGGACAGTCGACGCGATAAGACGAGGACGAAGAGGATAAAGATGAGAAATCACGAATCCCGAGCCGCGCACCGCGAATCACTTCGCGCATTCGTGGCGGCTTTTGTCTTCGGGAGGTGCGGGGGCACCAAGCACCAGACAATGCCAAGCGGGGTCACCACTGCAGTGCGGACGCGCCCGCAAGAGACCCCAGCAAGAGACCTGGACATGAAAATCCTGCGAGCTTCTCAGCGCCCGCGGGAGGCCACCGCGCAGCGCGCGCAGCAGAACAAAACATGGTGCCCCGGACGAAAAGCAGATGATTGGCTGATGCGCGTCCCCTCTGCAGGGGGGGGCCGCCTTCTCCGGGAAGGGGACCCCCGTGGTCCTCCCAGATCCCCGGACCCCCCGCCCCCAGGGTGTCCACAGGCACAGAACAAATTCCGGCCCCATCGATCCCCGATGGCCCCCCCTCCCGCTCGATCCCAGGGATAATCTACACCAGCGACTCCGAGACCACCCAGGGGTCAAAACACCGACAAGATACCCACGCGTCCACGATTAGCGCATCGCCCAGTTGTATTCGCCGATCGCGTACACTTATGGTTCATTTTTTGCGACACCACCGGAGGCGAATCATTGCCAATACACTCATTATCCACTTGATTGCCTGTATCCAGATCATGCTCATAATCCTCCTCTTCCTCCTCCTCCTCCTCCTCCTTCTCCTCCTCCTCCTCCTCTCCTATTCTCACTTGGAGGCTCGAGAGGGTCGCGCTGTCCTTCTTCTTCTTTGCGATGTCGAAGTCGCTGACGAGCTTCTCGACCTTGTCCTGAACCTCCTTGAGCTCCGCCTGCCACCACGCGGGGACAGGGGGTGTAAGGAGAAGGATGAGGAGCAATGGAGGGGAACCGAGCATCATATTGCATATTTGGGGGGACATCGTCTGTCACATCGCGTCGCCATGCGCGCAGAAGCCGGGTTGCATCCGCGTCGAGCCCGCGTCGCATCCTCGACGAAAGCCCGTGGCGGAGCTGCAGGAGGGGGCGGTGATCATAGGATTGTGGATGCCACGACAATGGACACCCTGGCAGTCCTATCATCGAATTAAACATGTGTTTAAAACGGCGGAAAGATGTCCTGAACATGTTCAAAACAGATGTTCTACATGTTTAAAACAGTGCTAACACATGCTCTAGACATCTGGAAACTATTTGGCAACATGCTTCCTCTCCATGGACCGTCCTCCACAGTCACAGGAGATCCGCCACGGGCCTGCCTCGCAATGCCGGCCGAAGGGCCTCGGGAGGTCGGGAAGGGGGGGCGCAGCACGAACAACCAGCAATTAGCAGAGCGGCTCCGCCCCTCCGCTCGCACCCTCCCTCGGCGCCCGCCCCGCGGAAGGCACCCCACGGTGCCTGTGCCGACACGACCTCTTCAGAGGCCTCCCACAAATGTTAAGTCGGGCCTGTCCCCCTACAGGCCGATTTTGGACGAACAATGAGAGAACAAAAAAAAAATAGCCTGGCGAAGAACCCAACCATATGCAGTTGTCAGTACCGCAGCTGCGGGTTTCATCTTCAGTGGAACTCCCCAGAGGACCACGGAACGTGTGAGGGGTGTGCCGAGATGGGTGCCACTGGGGCATTCGGTGAAGCTCCCTATGGGGACACGAAACACGCGCGGGGCGTGCCGACATGGGTGGCGGAAACGGATGTGAGGGCCGCCACTGGGGCCTCCAGTGGAGCTCCCTATGGGTCCCCGAAACATGATGCTGCTGCGGGGGGGGACCGGGATGAGTGGCGGAAACGCATGTAAGCGCCGCTACTGGGGCCTTCGGTGGAGCTCCCTATGGGGCCACGAAGCGCTTGAGGGGTGTACTGGGATGTGTGGCGGGGACGCATGTGAGCGCCGCCACTGGGGCCTTCGGTGCAGCTCTCTATGGGGCCACGAAACGTGTGAGGGGTGTGCCGACGTGGGTGCGGGTGGTGACGCATGCGGGCGGTGCCACTGGGGCCTTCGGTAGAGCTCCCTATGGGGCCACGAAACCTGTTGTTGTGAGGGGCGTGCCGGGATGGGTGGCGGGGACGCATGTGAGCGCGGCCGCTGGGGCCTTCGGTGGAGCTCCCTATGGGGCCACGAAACGTGTGAGGGGTGTGCCGAATTGGGTGGGTGTGGGTGACGCATGTGAGCGCCGCCACTTGGGCCTCCGGTGGATGATGGGGCCACGAAACCTGTGAGGGATGTGCCGAAATGGGTGTGCGGGACGCATGCGCATGTGAGCGCCGCCACTGGGGCCTTCGGTGGAGCTCCCTATGGGGCCACGAAACGTGTGAGGGGTGTGCCGAATTGGGTGTGCGGGCGCATGCGGGCGGCAGCACTGGGGCCTTCGGTGGAGCTCCCTATGGGGCCACGAAGCGTGTGAGGGGTGTGCCGAATTGGGTGTGCGGGACGCATGCGGGCGGCAGCACTGGGGCCTTCGGTGGAGCTCCCTATGGGGCCACGAAACGTGTGAGGGGTGTGCCGAATTGGGTGTGCGGGACGCATGCGGGCGGCAGCACTGGGGCCTTCGGTGGAGCTCCCTATGGGGCCACGAAACGTGTGAGGGGTGTGCCGAAATAGGTGTGCGGGACGCATGCGGGCGGCAGCGCTGGGGCCTTCGGTGGAGCTCCCTATTGGGCCACGAAACGTTTGAGGGGTGTGCCGAAATGGGTGTGCGGGACGCATGCGGGCGGCAGCGCTGGGGCCTTCGGTGGAGCTACCTATGGGGCCACGAAACGTGTGAGGGGTGTGCCGAATTGGGTGTGCGGGACGCATGCGGGCGGCAGACTTGGGGCTTTCGGTGGAGCTCCCTATGGGGCCACGAAACGTGTGAGGGGTGTGCCGATATGGGTGTGCGGGACGCATGCGGGCGGCGGCATTGGAGCCTTCGGTGGAGCTCCCTACGGGGCCACGAAACGTGTGAGGGGTGTGCCGAATTGGGTGTGCGGGACGCATGCGAGCGGCGGCACTGGAGCCTTCGGTGGAGCTCCCTATGGGGCCACGAAACGTGTTAAGGGTGTGCCGAATTGGGTGTGCGGGACGCATGCGGGCGGCAGCACTAGGGCCGTCGGTGGAGCTCCCTATGGGGCCACGAAACGTGTGAGGGGTGTGCCGACTTGGGTGTGCGGGGCACATGCGGGCGGCAGCACTGGGCCTTCGGTGGGGCTCCCAATGTGGCCACGAAACGTGTGAGAGGTGTGCCGAAATGGGAGCGGGACGCATGCGGGCGGCAGCACTGAAGCCTTCGGTGGAGCTCCCTATGGGGCCACGAAACGTGTGAGGGGTGTGCCGAAATGGGTGTGCGGGACGCATGCGGGCGGCAGCACTGGGGCCTTCGGTGGAGCTCCCTATGGGGCCACGAAACGTGTGAGGGGTGTGCCGAATGGGTGTGCGGGACGCATGCGGCGGCAGCCTGGGGCCTTCGGTGGAGCTCCCTATGGGGCCACGAAACGTGTGAGGGGTGTGCCGAAATGGGTGTGCGGGACGCATGCGGGCGGCAGCACTGGGGCCTTCGGTGGAGCTCCCTATGGGGCCACGAAACGTGTGAGGGGTGTGCCGAAATGGGTGTGCGGGACGCATGCGGGCGGCAGCACTGGGGCCTTCGGTGGAGCTCCCTATGGGGCCACGAAACGTGTGAGGGGTGTGCCGAATGGGTGTGCGGGACGCATGCGGCGGCAGCACTGGGGCCGTCGGTGGAGCTCCCCATGGGGCCACGAAACGTGTGAGGGGTGTGCCGAATGGGTGTGCGGGACATGCGGGCGGCAGCACTGGGCCTTCGGTGGGCTCCCTATGTGGCCACGAAACGTGTGAGAGGTGTGCGAAATTGCGGGCGCAGCACTGAAGCCTTCGGTGGAGCTCCCTATGGGGCCACGAAACGTGTGAGGGGTGTGCCGAAATGGGTGTGCGGGACGCATGCGGGCGGCAGCACTGGAGCCTTCGGTGGAGCTACCTATGGGGCCACGAAACGTGTGAGGGGTGTGCCGAATTGGGTGTGCGGGGCGCATGGGGGCGGCAGCGCTGGGGCCTTTGGTGGAGCTCCCTACGGGGCCACGAAACGTGTGAGGGGTTGGGTGTGCGGGACGCATGCGGGCGGCAGCACTGGGGACTTCGGTGGAGCTCCCTATGAGGCCACGAAACGTGTGAGGGGTGTGCCGAATTGGGAGCGGGACGCATGCGGGCGGCAGCACTGGGGCCTTCGGTGGAGCTCCGTATGGGGCCACGAAACGTGTGAGGGGTGTGCCGATATGGGTGTGCGGGACGCATGCGGGCGGCAGCACTGGGACCTTCGGTGGAGCTCCCCTTGGGGCCACGAAACGTGTGAGGGGTGTGCCGAAATGGAGGAGGGAGGAGGGAGGGGGCAGCGGGAAGGAACGCGGGGCGAAGTCTCTTCAAAACGAGGACCCAACACCACAGGATGGTTGGGAACTAAAAATGCGCAAAAATGGTCAAAAAATAGTCCCCAGACTATTTTTTACATATTTTTGAATATTCCCCCTGTAGAGGGACAGGCCCGACTCAACACAAATGGGGTCCGAGCAGGTGGGGCCGGGAACGTGCGCCGCACCCCCGATGAGATCGGCACGGCCCGCGAGAAGGACTCGCAGAGATGGGGCGAGGGGGGGGGCCCACTGAGTCGACGGATAAGGGTTCCGGAAATTGCAGCAAGGCAGGGGGGCCCCTCATTGTTCCTGCCTTGTTGGAGGTCAATCGTGGGCTCCAGGAGCTCAGTTACGAGAGCCCCTCGTCGACCTGCCCTTCGGCGAAGTCAGTTGGCCTGCCCGTAGGAGCAGGGTCGTGAATTCTGCGGAGCGGTGGTTTATCCATAGCCATCGCCTGTAGCGTCGGTCCTCGGGGGCGTCGGCGGGCGGTGGATGTAGAGCTACTTTGCCCCCCAGGCCCGGAGATATCCGTATACACCGCCTGTTCAGGCCCGCAAAAATCGACCCCGCAGGCGGTGGCTATGGATAGACCCCACCCCCGGAACGACGTGACATTCAGTGGAGGCCAGTCCTCGAGAAACCTTCCACAAGACACCCAACCCTGAGATCCCAGGACGTCCATGCATTCTTGGTTGGGGAACGTTACGTTTCCTATCGCAAAACCTTCGAAACCCAAGAAACCCAGGGCACCCTGGAGGCAAGCAAGGTGGTTCTTGGCATGGGCCCCCACTGTACCACGACCTCGTGCCCTATCTCGACGTCGCATCTCGGATGGGAGGGGCCCTGGCTGTGAGAGCGCAAGCCATGGTTCACGACGAGCGACGGCGGGCGGCACGCTGACCCTGCTCGGGGCACTTCGCTCTCGCGAGCCCCGAGGGCCCTCTGCCCTCGGCTCGAGCCTCCGACGCCGCTTTCAAAGAAGCTGGAACCACACTCACACACACATGCACACACACACACACACACACACACGCACACACACACACACGTACACACACACACACACACACACACACACACACACACACACGCGCACACACGCTCACACGCAAGCACGCAAGCACACACACACACACGTTTGAGAGGGAGGTAGCGGTCTCACGCGCGGTGGCGAGGCGGAGTAAGTCAAAACGGCGGAGCAAGCGCGCGTGGTCGGGCCCTCAAGCGGGATAACCAACAGAGACACACACACAAGTCGAATCAGGACCTCCACCCACCATCCCTTCCTCCTCTGCCTTTTCAACCCTCCTGTTCCCTCTTCATCCTGCTCCTCGCCCCGTTCCTCTCCTCCTCTACCACGTGGCCCGCCAGATTCCTGGGGCAGCACTCTATCCCCATCCCACGAGCTACATTTGGGATCCTGGAAATGTTT